AAAAAAAGAAAGAAAGAAGAAAGAAGAGAAGAAATTCGTTTCCAAGGCCAATGGTATACGTGGTTCATCATAATCTACCCATCCTATCCTGTCTATCCCATCTCTCCCATCGCTCCCAGGATAAAAAGAAAATTCCCCGAGAAATACAAAGAATATCCCGTCTCATGCCCGCTATGCATGTGCGCCGATTTAATGCCTGAGAGAAAAAGGATACAAAAGAAAAAAGAAAAAAAAAGATCCTGTTTGCTCCTGGTATGCCGGGAATAGATACGCCATTGTGTGGGGGCAAAGTGGGTTTGGTGGGTTGGGGAAGCTGATGATGCTGGTGTGTAGTGTGGTAATGTGTGTACGGTACGTAGTTGGCCGTGTTGAAGTCTAGCCGTGTAGTTGGAGTCTGATGCCATGTGTACGGGACTCGAGTACGTGTAGTGGGAAGTGTTGAAGTGTAGTCGTGTGTCCAATTCCTTCCAACGTGTTCCAAGTGAGAGACAGATCTCCCTGTCCCTGCCGCTCTCTCACCCTCGACCAGGATTCAACAACCATGTCCAAGAACGATCAAGAATCAAAAACGGCACCATAAGCACACCCACCCTGTGCCTTGACCCCACGCACCACCGCCGCCGTCACCCCCGGATTGCTCACCACCATGACCGCTTCAATCTCCCGCGTGCTAGCCAGATACTTTGCTTCAAACGCAACATCGGGCCGCGCCTGACGAGAGTCATAGATGACTGGTTCCGGGTCCACGGCGCGGATAATATCCTGTACGAAGCGCCAGTGCTCGGCCTCGGGCGCGTACACGGTCCACAGCACCTTGACGAGTCGGCCTGCGTCGCGCATACGGCGGATGGTCGGGGAGGTGAGGAGGGAGAGGACGGGGCCGATGCCAGCGCCTGTTGCGACGAGGAGGAGGGAGGAGAAGAGAGGGGTGAGGGCGAGGAAGTTTTGGGTTGGGGGGTTGCGCATCCAGAGGGTGGGTGGGGGTGCGTTGATGATGGTGCGGGTCCAGTCGCCGGCCTGGGAGACGATGATGGTGGCTGAGGTGGTGTCTGGGGAGGGAGTGGTGGCAAAGGCGTGCCATTCGTCGAGGGGGGAGCGGGAGAACTTGACGGTCGAGGTGTAGGGCATGTTTGCATAGGGAAAGGTGATTTTGACTTCGCGTGCGCTGACGAGTTGGGTGGTGATGGGGACGCGTCGGATGCGGAGCCAGGGGAGGATGACGAGGCATGTGGTGGTGAGGAGGAGCCAGAGGGGTGCCGTCTTGTAGAGGCGGGTCGTGTTGGCTGGGTCGTGGGAGGCAACGCCCGAGTTGATCCAGAGGACGACGAGGGCGAGCCATCCGCCGAAGCGGTGCGTGTGTTCGAAGGTGTTGTGGAATTTCGCCCGGAGCCGTGGATGCGCCGTTATACATACCGCTACCAAGCAGACCATGAAGGCGTACGAGGTGACGATGGATCCCCAAAGCCATGGCGTCATGGTAGATGAGTGTTGGTGATGGACAATTTTGACCGTGCTATCGGCGACAAAGGCAATGTACCAGAACAAGGCGGATACCGCACAGCCAATGTGCAAGCCGCCGTAGTGGTGCACGTCTGCTATGACTTTGCGAAGTCCCAGTGGCCAGGTAGACGGCGTCTTGGCGAAGAATGTGAAGATGGCATTGATAAGGTCTTCTTGCCGGATGGCGACTGCAACAAGCAGATTGGTAGATGTCGCGATGAGGAGGTTCGAAGGAGTGCGGTGGCGATTCATGATGTAGACGATGAGGCACCCATTGACGAGCACGGTATAAGCGATTATCAGACGATATGCTGTGGACCAATGGAGCCAGAACTTTTCGACACGTCGGGCCAGCGTCAGCTTTTGTGCGAGCCTGGACTGGGACTCGCCATGACTCGATGGGGCCTCAGTGATTCCGACCCGGATCGAGTTCGAGCCTTGAACTCGCTGTGTTCCTGACGGGATATGCGATGCTGGAGGATTCAGTGGGCGTGTAGTATTTTGTGAGGTTAATCCACGTGAGAGCCCAGAAGACTTCTGCAACGTAGAACTACGTGAGCGATGCAACAAGTCGTCTGATGGTCCAGTGGTGTCTGCGCGTAGAGGATGCATGGGAACCTCCTCATCCAGTGTTTGAGATGTGGCGTGCTCAGACAGACACAAATGGACGAGCTCAATGGAAGGATGAGTTTGATGTTGATACGCAGAGTCCGCGGTGCTTGGTTGAGGAGTCTCCATTGAATTGGTGTGTAAATTTGCAAATAGGAACGGAGCAGTACGACGCTAGAGTGTTTGTGAGAAGGCCGTTTACGTCACTCCAGTCCAGTTGAGTAAGCGTGAGTTGTTTCCTGTACGTGACCAGTGGGTAGAGAATTGTGAGGGCCTTGCAAACAAAGTTATAGGAGCGGTGAGGTAGCAGTAAGGTAACAGTGAAAGTACAATGCTGGCAGGCCTCAGCAACGCCCAGCCGCTATAGGTACACAATGTCAGACTCATTGAGCAGTCTTAAGGTAGATTCACATCCAAGTGAATGTTCATCTGCCCATGAGCGTTCTCGAAAATAGCAGCGTCCGACACCACTTTGAAAATAGGACATTGTGAAGACTCGGCTAAGCCTCATTGGGACGCGAGTGGGATGGAGGTGAAAGCGACAATCTTATACAATGAGTGACCGAATAGACTGGCTTGGAAAAGAACTTCCTAATTGAGGCCATGAAGCTAGTGTATCTGGAACAAAAAAAGGTTTCTAGGGTACGTTGGTTGCTGTGTTGTGCCGGACACATAGTTGAAACGGTGTGCTCGGTATATTACTGATAGTATAGTTGAGAATGGAGACCAATCTCGGTCCTATGATTAGCAGCCCGCTGCAGGGCATCCTTGCCAAATAGTGCGTGCAGCTCTATAAGACCTGCTGCACGTTCTCTAGCAATGACATTCCCGTGAATGTTTGGGAACATCCCTGCTGTATTCAGATTTGATCCCAAAGACGTTGAAAGTGGCCTGCTACCCATGTTGGTTCCTGCTGGTCGCCCCTGGCATCTGCAAGGTCCACAGAAAAAAAAAAGTGAGGCGTTGGGAATGTTCAGCAGAATTGTGTGGATGGGAGAGTGGTCAAACAGTGCGGTGGAAACGCTGGCTAAGGGTGAGCGGGTGCCACTGGCTACTATGGACAGCTGCGGTTGGCGAGTTCGCGTCAAGATTTAGCATGTTGGATTAATCGAGGTCCAATCATATATTCGATAAGCGTCGATATTATTCTCGGTCTAGGCGATGATGAACTGTTGTTTAGCCTGCCGTCTGACGTGTGATGAGCAAACCTTCGAGGTCCGATCTTAAGTTGATTGAAAGACGACTGAGATGTGATGATGGATTGTCAATAGTACAATCAAAGTGCATCCAGGAAACTCAAGATCTCATTGACAACCTTCTCAGGTTGCTCTTGCTGAGGCCAATGGCCAGCACCCTTGACAAGTCTGATGCCTCGAAAATCGGAACACGATGTGGGATATGCTTCAATGGCGCCTGGTTCCTGGTGATTACCCCAATCTTGCTTACCCGAGATAAAAATACTCGGACACTCGATCTTCTTCC